GAAGCCAACTCAGCCTAGGCGCCATATTTTTATGGCCGCGTGATTTTGTATTGTCGGTGTTAAGAATTTCGTCTATACTTGCGAAAGCATTAATAGCAAGCGTCCTTAGGTGCGTTTAAAACTCTCAAGAGATCGCTGTGGTTCGATGGTTTCAGTGTTTGTCGGTCAGGCCAGGTGGTGGTTGGTAACTGTTCACAACTCGGGGAGCATCAAAAATGCGATTTTTTAATTTGATTTTTCATCGCTGACCTGTTCATGTAGGACAGAACACAGCGTTTAACTGCTTAACTTGTGCTCAGCTCCTTTGGCAATTTATTTTCTCAGCTATCAGCAGCGTTTAATGGTCTGTTAGGATTTTGTGACTGCTGTTGCCATTGTTTGTCAGTAAGCCTTCCGAATACAACTTTTTATTTATGTTCTCTTTCTCGCTATTCGGATGACTTGCGACCTCTTTTTTAGCTGAATGACTCTTGGAGCGGTCGATCAAATACCCCACAGATACTAGGATGGAAAGGTATGTCCCTTTATCTCTTCTCCTTTCATCAGCGAGGTTGACGTTGTTCCCCATACCTATTCCCTTTTCGATCAACTGCTCGTGTGTACTCGGCTTCGTGAACTTTGCGGCTGCTTTGACGACGTTCGCTCTTATCGCTGTTCTTTCTAGTTGTGAGCGACGGCGTTTCCTGTAGGTCTCAGGACTCGAGAGCTATTAACTAAGATACTACAAGTTATGAGGAAACTTCGGCACTGGGAACGGGTTCAAATGCCGATCACCACACTATTACAAAGCAGTTGCTACTTGATCCTAACTGTTAGGCATTGGTCTTCAGCCACATCAGCCTATTTACTACTGGGTCTCAAAGCCTTCAGGTCTAGCAAATGCATGCCACATTCGCTGACTTTCCATTAGGGAATCTTTGCGTCTATCCTTTATACTACTCTTAGTAAAAGAAGCACAACTTGAGTAATGTGTACTTATCATATTGCGTTTCTGTACGAACAAAAAATAAACCTTTTTCCGCGAATTCGCATCCAGAAAAGAGCTCCACAATAGATATCCTGTCTCTTGGAAGGTTGACCGAAATTCAGAAATGCGTTTCCGATTTGAAAATATAACCTATGTATGGTCTTAATGTTAATTAACATGCAACATAATCCCAATATAGTTTAGTTCCCCGTCGGTGCATCGGATCTGGATCGAGTTTCCTGCTGCGTGTCTGTCAAAATTTCATTGAATAAGGACTACTTAAGTAGTATAGTGTTATAATTTCCGTTGATCTCATCTGCATCGCCACTGTTATAACCTTGTGTGTTCCTTTGTCAACACTGGTTATGTCCTACAGTCACGTGTTAGGAAGAGAAGGCAGAACAGGATAGCAGATAGTACTTTACTGTCA